CAAAACAATTTTTTATGGAAATAGTAAAATTTTGTATTCAAGAAAATAGGTACTTTAAATTTAACGACACGATATATACCCAGTTAAAAGGAATGCCAATGGGATCCCCTGCCTCACCTGTCATTGCAGATATTATAATGAAAAGTTGTTGGATAACACGATTAAAAAATTAGGACGACCACCAAGATTATTAACGAAATATGTTGTTCGTAGCAGAGCTGAGTCACTTGTTCCTTACCTCGGGTGGGGGTAACAAGTAACGCTCAGCAATGCGTGAACTACAAATACTCTTATTTTAAAATTCTCTACCCCTTACCACTTGTGGGGGGAAGTAGAGTTTAATAAAATAAGAGGTTAGTACTTTCAATATTAATAATTTTACCCCTTACCGCTGGTGGGGGAAGTAAAACCTTAATAAAGAAAGAAGAAGACAGATAGTTAGATGCTTTACCCCTTACCTCTGGTGGGGGGAAGTAAAGCATAAAATATAAAAGAAAGAAAAGAAGCGTGTTATTGAGAGTCTTTACGAATCTGAATAATTTATTCAACATTTTTCTTTTATATACAATTTTCTAACTCTATTTCCTTAACTAATTATATATGTATGTGTGTGTATATGTACATGTGCATGTATGTATGTATATTTACATAAGATTACCAACCAATGCCTTGGTCTTCTAATTATATTTTTATTGCTTGCATGTGCATCAGCTATATACATGCAAAGCCTATTATCTAATGCATTTTCTAATGCATGCATAGGTATGTGTGTATATATATTTGTATGCAAGAGATAAACGCATTGATCTCTTATTTCAGTATGTATTACAATTTATGTGATTTTAAATTTATGTTATGATAAGCAGCAATCTTCGTACTCAGGCAACAAGATCGCAGAGAATTTCGATTGCTTTGCTTATCATACATTTGACAGAGTAGTGGACTGTATACATATACGTAAATATTTTCTATATGTAAATAAGTATGTTTTGTTTCTTGCATTGCATGTGCAGACAAAACGATCCTTTTCTAAATACATGTTCATATGGATGAGTATATGTTATTGTCTAAGTAGGTACATACATATGCACGTATTTTTTATGTTAAATTTTATTACTCATGTTCAAAGATGTTTGAACATATGTAGATGATTTATTTGCCATAATAAATGAAAATGAGGTACAAAATACACTGGACGCAATGAATTCTTTTCACAGGAATATACAATTCACAATAGAATTAGAGGACAACGGAAAATTAGCTTATCTAGACTCCATAATAATCAGACAAGGAAACCAATTAAAATTAAGGTGGTATAAGAAACCAACATCATCAGGACGAAACATCAATTTTAATTCTAAACACCCCAAACCGATGATAATGAATACAGCAATGGGCTGTATACGACGAATGTTGGAGATATCGGACGAAACTTACCACAAAGAGATGGAAAAAGAGATTCGATCATTATTAAAAAGCAATGATTTCCCGGACAATATCATAAGTACATTATTAAAAAGATCAAAATCGCAATTCAGTAAGCATAGCACAAAAATCCTACAATATTTAAATCATTAACTTATGTCCCTCATCGGTCAGAACGCCTGGCTAAATCAGACTGCTACAACAAAGATAAAATAA